TAGTAAATCTAGAAATTTCAATATTGAACTTATTACAAAATATTTTTGTAATATCTAGTAAACTCAATCGATGATTTTAATCATAGATTTTGAATAATTCAGATTTTAAATCATCATTAAGCTTTTGAGGTCTTCCTGATCCATACTTGCGAGTAATTGGTAGGTTATTATCTATTTTAAACTTAACATTTGAAACGGCTGTTTTACTCACGTTTCTTTTAATAGCAATAATTCTTTGGCTAATTCTTTTCGAAAGATCATCCTTTATTAAAACTAGTAACTCATATGGTAGTTGCTTAGACATTAGCCTTGAAAAAAAAACTGTTTAAATATTAAAAATGGAGGGAAATTTTATTGTGGTCTTATTTTTTTGCACATATTTTTTTCAAAAAATTTTCTAAAGTGACTCAAAAAACACAAAAATATAAAATATTTAAAATTTTATTCTTATAATAAGATATTAATATATATTGTAAAAGAAAATTTTTTTATTCATGACATGTGTGGTTTCTTGCGAATAATTTTTTTGGTGGTCTTACTTTTTTGCTCAATACTGTATATTTCAAGCTGTTAAATTTTTATTAATAAAATATAAATATAAAGAGATCAATTTTAAACAATTACGTAAGCATGCAAGGTGGTAACAACCGCCACAGGATAAATTTATCCTTTGTTGTACAGAAGGAGAAGGAGCAGTTGAGAGAAGCATTTGTAGAGCCAAGTAGTGAACAAGGATACACACTGGAAATAACAATTGCAGATACAGGAATTAAGCTTAAAAAGACAATTTCATATCTGACTAATCCATATGCAGATAACTTAATACAATGGTGTGATAGTTTTAAATTTGCTTGCAAACAAGCATCATGGTCAGACCATGCAGCTGTTCAAGTGCTAAAAAACATTGTATCAACTGATATTTACGAAGATATCAGGATACTAAAGTCATTGAAATCATGTTTGACCAAGATATTACATAAGAAGTACCCAAGTGAAGCAAAACCAGTTTATTTAAGTAGAGTTAAAAAGATTAATCAATCTCAATATTATCTTTTAGAATCATACTTCAGGTACCAGGAAAAAGCTCTAAGAAAATACTTTATTTGCAGTAATGAATGCCTTACAATTCAAAATGCAAAGTGTGAAGAAATGTTTTTCGAAAACCCATGTCCATCTACTAAGATTTATTTTTTAGAGAATGGAATTAAAACACGTACCCAGGCTTTTGAAAAGACCAGATCAATTGAGAATCTACTTATTCAGTTAGCCGAAGAAGATAGGTTAAAAGAACCAACAGTTCAGAAATCCAGTACATTTAATACTATCGTTACTAAAGTAACAAAACCTGAAAGTAAGCAAGGAGTATGGTGTACAAGACATCGAAACTCAACCCATAACACTGCTGATTGTTACGGATTAAAGAAGGAAATAGCAGATAAGGAGTTGAAGAAAAAGAGTAAGAGTAATTAGATTGTGAATAAAGTAAATAACTATCATCTATTATTAGAGCCTAAACCTAAATTACAAGCACTTGTAATAGATTTGAGTACACATGGTCAAAAATTTAAAGGTCTAATTGATACGGGAGCCAGTAAAAACTTTATAGCTCAACATTTGTACCTGATAACATGATAATAAGAAAATTGGATCAACCGTTAAAGATTAACATTGTAGACGGAACGTAACAAATAATATATGATGTAGTTGAACTAGAATTCAGTCTAAACAACCATGAATAAATTATTTATAAGGAATCATTTGCTATTGTAGATAAACTTGGTATATCAATTATACTTGGTATAGAATTTATGATAAGACAAAATGTTACCATTGATTTTACAAAAATGATTATTAACATTGATGATAGAATAATTAAACCGGAGAATGAAGAGTATTATGATTTAATTGAAAGTCCAGAACAAGAACTTTTTAATAACCCTAATTTATTTATTACCCAAGACAGCCAACTATTTAATAAGAAAATAACTTGCATAGTTGAAAAATCGGCAGTTAACAATCCAGAAGTAGGTTGTATTTTTTGTAAGGAATTTTGCATTCATCTTAAAGATGACATTCCTATTAGAAGCCGTATATATCCAGTACTTTATAAATACTATGATTTAGTGAAAGAAGAAATTCGAAAGCTTGAAAGATTAGATATTATATGTAAAAGCAATTCTGTATACTGAGCTCCTGCATTCGTAATTAGCAAGAAAAATGGAAGTATCAGACTCGTTATTGATTATCGTAAATTAAACGAAAAGCTTGAGGATAGTGTATATCCTTTTCCAGAACAAAAAGATCAATTGATGTCACTAAGCAAAGGGGCAATATTCAGTCAAATTGATATCACTATGGGATATCACAACATTAGAATCAAATCTGAAGATCAACATAAATCAGCATTCGTATTGCCATGGGGTGATATGAATTTAAGAGAATACCATTTGGTATTAAAACGGCACCAAGACATTTTCAATATTTCATTAATGGATTATTTAGTGACTTAAACGAAGTTAAAGTTTTCCTTGATGATATTCTAATTGTAACAGATAGCCAAGAAAAGCATTTAGAAATAGTCGAAGAGTGATCAAAAGATTGGTTAATAATAATGTTAGTATAAACTTTAAGAAAAGTAACTTTAGTAAAGACAAAGTAACTTATCTAGGTTGTATTATATCATCAAACGGAATTAAACCTGATGTTACTAGAGTAGAAGGATTCTTAGAACGATTACCTAGTTATGGAAAGATTACAAGAACAAACCTCAAGAAGATTATAGGCTTCATTGAGTGGTTTAGGTAATTTGTGCCTAGATTAAGTCATATGATTACATCTTTAAACGATAAATTGCGTAAAGATGGTGAATTAAAATGGAAATATGAAGATAAAAGTAATGTTGAATGTATAATGAATTATATCAAAGAGCAAGCATTACTACATTTACCGGATCCTACTCAGTCATATAAACTTGAAACTGATGCTTCAGATTATGCAATAGGAGGAGTACTTACTCAAGAAAATAAGACGATAGGAATCTACAGTACAAGTTTGACAAAGTTAGAAAGAAATTACACAGTAACTGAGAAAGAAATGTTAGCTATCATCAAGTCATTACAGCACTTTAGAAGAAAGGTTTACGAATCTCATGTGGATGTATTCACTGACCATGCTAATTTATTGTACATTTCAACTGATTTAGATAAGAGAGTGTACAAATGGAAATTAACATTATTAGATTATGATTATCAACTGATATATAAGAAAGGAAAGGACAATCAAGCTGCTGATTACTTATCCAGACTTAATTTAATTCAAGAGAGTAGTCAGGATATTCATTCCAACTCAACTTCATGTATTTTACCAAAAGAAGGGTTTAAAAATTCAATAATTCTTAAAAGTTTAATTGGAAATGAAAAATATCTTAAGGTAAATAGTAAAGGTAAAATTGAAATACCTAAAGGATCGAAAATTGATTTAATTAATGAAGTTCATCTTATACTACATCATCCAGGTCCAAAAGTCATGCTGGAAAATATAAGAAAAATTATTAATATACCATCGTTAAAGAGTAAATTGTAAGAATTTTGTAATAATTGCTATTGGCGCCAAACCAACAAGGTACATAATCATCAAAAAACTCCTATTGGAATAGTTAATACACCACAAAAAAAATTTGAGGTTATCTCATCTGATATTTACGGACCTTTTAAACTACAAGAGTTTTGTCCAGATGAAGTAGTAGAAAAAGCATATTTTTCAACAGTAACTGATCATTGTACAAGATGGACAGAGATTAAGGTTATTACAACACTTGAAGCTAATGAAATCATTGATTACTTGAATTAATAGGTCCAAAAACATAAGAAACCTGAAAGATTTATTAGTGATAATGGAACTCAATACAGATCTAAATTGTTAAATGATTGGCTTTCAGAACATAATATTGTTCACACTTACACTACCCCTACAATCCCCAGTTCAATTGAATAAGCGAAAGAGTTAATCATACTATAACTCGCATACTAAAATGTTTTGAGGGAAGGACAATAGACAAACTTGAATTCAATATTAATCGTGTTTTACAGAATAGTTACCACAGGATAATAAGTATAACACCCAACGAGGCTGTATACGGAATCAATATTTTTGATCCACTTCGAAGATTCAAGCCAATTTTAGGAAAGAAAATAGATGAACATGTCGACAAGGTTAAAGCTTATGAATTAAATAAGGTGAAGAACATAGAAAAAATAATTTGTTTGCTGAAATAGATTTTGTTTATAGAAAATCAGAATCTAAAGGAAAGTTTGAAACAAAGTGGATAGGTCCTTACTTAGTTAAAGAGATAAGAGATCAAGTGGCTAAAATAGAAAATGAATACAATATTTTAAACATTAATATCAGAAAAATAAGACATATATGAGGAGAGGTAGGATGTTGTGATGAGAATCACAACTATAATAATAGATTAAGTTATTAAAATAACATTAAAATTAATATATTTTTAAAAGTTTATATATAAATATTTCAAGTTGTTAAATTTTTATTAAAAATTTTAACCCATAAATTTTAATTAATAAAATATGAATACAAAGAGATCAATTTTAAATAATTACGTAAGCATGCAAAGTGGTAACAACCACCACAGAGACAGAAGCAGTATGTAAAGCTAGTGAGGTGGAATCACAATGTAAAGTTGTGAGGTGGAAACAGTATGTAAAGCTAGTGAAGCGGAAGCAATGATAATTCTGTTAAGGGCGCAACAGTTGAATTTGAGGAGGCAACGTAAAGTTGTCTCCAATGATAACAGATAAAAAATAGGGACTAAGTTACTTGAAGGTCACTCGGTTTGTGTCATAATAAACATGTTAGTAATACCTTACCAGACTGTAAATAGTATTGTTAAATGCTATAATACTTTTAGTAAAGTACTACTACAATCACGTGGCGGTGACAGGCATTCTAAACTTAGTTCAGACATAAAATAAACAATTCTTGCCTGGGTGGATGATAAACCTGTTCATGGGTTAAAGTATTTAAGAATAAAAGTCATCGAGACTTATGACATTGACGTATCAATCAGTACAATTGATCGATGTCTTCATTAATTCAATTACGCCTTAAAACGAATTATATTAGTCCTTGAGCGTAGAATAATCAAAGTACTATTGAAACAAGGGTTGATTACGAGTATTAAAATCATATTCTGGAAGCAGAGAATGAAGATAAAACTTTGTATTGCTCAATGAAGTAGGGTTTTCGGTGGTGACACGCCTAAGTAGAGGCAGATCTTTAAAGGGATAATCTGCATACCTCACTGTCACTGCTTCCAGAAGTAAAAATATTTCTGTTGTGGCAGTAATGAACAAATATGAAATAATCTTCTATAAAATTCACGAAAGTTTAGTAAATGAAGATGTTTTTAAAACTTCTCTTTGAGAATTAAAGACTATTTATACTGAAAAAGGAACTAACTCTCCTGTTTATATAATAGATAATATCAGAATTAATCATTACAGGGAATTTATAGAAAACAATGAACTTTCTCAAGAGACTCTAAAGTATTTACCCTTTACTCACCTTTTTTAAACCCGATAGGAAGTGTCTTTTTTGTTTGAAAAAATTTATTTGTACACGAGATGCTTTGAATGAATTTCAATTAAGACTTCTTATTGTGGAATTTTTTGATAAGATAACTTATAATCCTTACTAATCATTTTATAAAAAAATGCTAGGGTGTTTAATAAGATATACGGTAAGAGAGATCATTTATAAAAAACTTAGTTATATTTTTTTAATGTTTTTATATTTTAGTAAATCTTGAAAATTGTGATTTTGTAATTGATTGCAAAAGTTGTTCAGATAGTTGTAACGCTTATTATATTGGTTGCAAAAACCATATTTTACCAACAGATATACGCAATTGATTGCAAAATTACAAAAATCACTGTTAAATTATTTTATTGATTGTAAAAACACCCGAGAATTATATTATATTTAATTGATTGTAATAATTATTATATTGAATGAAAAATCTTATATTAATCATATATTTAAATAGTTTTTAATAATTTTTGTTACAAAGATCTTACTAACTATTAATCCTTAATTTATCAATCAGAAATTTTCTACCAATAAATTAAAATTTTATGATGTTTTTTTAAATTTTCAATAATATTTTCAATAGTAAAATAAGGAAAAACAGTAAAAATTTTAATTTTTAAAAAACTTTGTTTATTTTTTCAAAAAAAAGTTAAAATTATATTTCAATTTACTTAGAATAATAAAAACAGTTCTTAAACTTTTTAATTTTTTTAATATTGTATATCTTAATTTATAATAGTTAATATTTTATGTATAATTAAGATTAAAAGAAGACTAGAATTAACTAAAAATATTTTATAAATTATTGAAGAAGTATTGATAATAATCCTTACACGTCTGATATCAAAAACAAAACATTAAATT